AAGAATACTAATAAGGGTGACCTTTATCAGATATAAAGGTCCATGACCCTAGCAAAGTTCTCAGGTTTGAAACTTGATCATTGACCAATGCAGGACGTCAACCGATTTCAGTGAACATCCAAGAGCCGTTCTATTTTACTTTATGCGTATTGAATGTGGAATGACAAGAGTGCTTGTAAAGTGATTCGCGCATGATCAGTTTGCCCCATTTATCTCTGAACATATTTGTACGGCAATTTCTCCAAGAATTTTAACGGATTTGAGTTTYAAATTTCGGTAATAGCACATTCTCTATTCAATAGTTCTTTATTCAGTAGTTGAATAAAGGGGCATTATGCAGTGGTAGCTGACCGAKGAAACTGGATTTAGGAACATCCAGTTTCCAAGGGCAACTATCACGGCATAATGCCCGATATTTCAACTGTAATCTTTCCACCAATGAGAGCTGAGTGAAATTTGGTGTTGAATTAAAACGATGTACAATCKAAACCCACAAATACCACGCTCGCAGTAAAAAAGATTAGTGGAATGCCTTTACATATTTTTAGTATCAATGAACGGGTTTTTTTAAATTTCAGAATATTTGATGGGTGAAACCAACGAATCAGTCGCATGGAGAGAATGAGAGTATCCATATATAATTCAAAAACAAATTTTCCTCTCTCCTCTCATTGGTTGAGGGTTTCTATCAGTGCTGCTTTAGAAAATAAATGAAAACGATAGAGCAGATTGAATCTCAGGGCATTATTCTGTGGTAGTTGCCCTTGGAAACTGGATGTTCCTCAAAACTTTAAAGTCGAACTACTAGTCTGGGTCGACAATGATTTTTAACCTTTCCGCCATCAACTATCACAGCATATTTGCTCTCTATTCAACTACTATTGTTTAAATACTGTCAACTTTTGATTTGACTGTTTAGGTTTCTTTTTCCGTCAAGCACTCCCACTAAGAGATCCTAAGGGAACGGTTCGTCTTCATGCAGCTGAGGTCCTACAGGAAACATCAAAAGCGTTAGGAAACGTGGATAGGTAAAGTTAGTTTACTATGCATACAGAAGAGAACCAGAACCTCGGGCTAAAATCTGTTGTGGTTACAGATGCGCAATCATTCTACCTAGGTAGTGTATCCCGTTTTTAATAATAATTTTATTTCATTTTAGTATTATTCTACTAACCGGTTGTCATTTTTTCTTTCGATTTTGTCTCAGAAGGGCCTGAAAAACAATTAAGGAAGAAAAATGATCAAAGCCAAGTGTAAATCAGAGTCAAAGCTGGTCTAGTCCTCTTACTAACCCGAGGTCTCAGACATCTCATAGGGTCCTGCTGAAGAACAAGAAAATAAACATAGTAATGTTATATGCAGCTGACATCCGTTCCTCGGCCAGTTTTTTATTGTGTGAATTTTCCTACTTACCTGAAGTCATTTTTTTCTTGAACATTGTTGCCTCAGAATGTTCTGAAGTACAGAAATAAGTAAACAAAAATTATTATTTACATCCGCGGTAAATAAACTACAACAAATTTATGCTTCATATCAATTTTCAAAGTATTGTATTGCCAAAGCTTGCATTGATTCATCCCGGCAGTATGACAATCTATAAAGTGTCAAAATGTTGATTGTGTCTGCCTAAACAGCGGGAGTTTTAGCTTCAATTCCCATACGCTCCCCATCTGTGCGTCTCATCCGTTCTGTTATTCTTAATTCTGAATGTTACGTGTTAAGAAATAAATGCGTTTAGTAGCGTCAAGGACTACACACCATTGAAGATGGATAGGTTTACAGCTGTACAGAGTATATTCGAAAACACACATTTTTCATGCGTATAATCATATCGTTTACAAGAAAACCACCGAAAGAGCTTTGGTAAATCGAAAGTGTATGTAATGAGTATTTTGTATTTGTATGTTCACAAGGGAACTTGACGTTTGCGCAACGTGAAATTAAAACAATTGAGTTACCTTTGAATTCCAGGCCATGCTTTGCTTTCCTTTCTATTGAAAATCAAAACAATTATTGCCCTATTTTACCAGGACGTGCGTTACATTAAATCATTCCACTGTTTTACGACTTTTAATGGAGATTTATGATAATCAGGAAAAAAATGTTGGAAAAAAACTATAAACAAAAGTACATTTAGAGGACAAATAACCAGAAAAAAACACTATAATCATTGACAATATTTGAAAACTAACACAAGCTAAGCCTGCATTTTTGAGGAGATCAGGTACAAACTCTTATTGCTTTAAGTGTCTTGTAAGTCTCCCATTTAAACATGCTGTGACGTCAGAAAGAAACGGGCAATTAATCAGATGATGATATATGTTAAAGTATTTAAATGCAGCAATCATAAAAAGCATTAACGGCCGAGAAATATGAGATACAAAACACTCAACTCATTGCGCTATATTTTTGCAATTCATGTTTTAGGAGGAGTCGGCAGGTTTCTGGGATATATTTGTCCTTATGTCCCAGCCAGCTGTAAGTCACACTGGTTGACAGCGACCGAGAAATTCAGGAAAAAAGAACTCTCCAGGCAAGGAATACCTCTACGAAATTTTGCCAGGAAAATAAAAAATTCCTATCTAAAGAAATATAAGCCGTTTTTGACCATAAAAACACAATATAAGCCTTTTTTGCCTTAAAAGCGTTTGCCAGGAACAAGCAAGGGCGCCACATTTTCTTGTGAGATCGTCAACATGTAGCTCAAATCCCTTTCCCAGGAAAACATTCGTGACAAGAACAGTTATTTAGAAGAACAGACCCCGTTGACTATTATTCCACGACAAATTGAGTATTTTGTATCTCTGTTAGGACACTTAAAACTTTGGGAATGAAAAAAAGAATCCAATTCGTATATTAGAACCGCATATATTTCCGCGTAACATTCGGTCTGCGGCGAAAAATTTCGGGGGCTTTTGGAACATGATTGTAAATAATCGGCACTTTATTAAATGACAACATGCATATCGAATCAGCTGTAAAGAAGCTTGATGGGTATCCAATCTGACTCAACTACTTACCAAAAATCTTAATCATGTTTTTCAACGCTTCCTTCAGCTTACTCAGCTCTTCCTTCATACCGCTGACGACTTCATCAAGGATAAACGGCTGATCACTCTCTGTACTCTTCACTTGAATATCTGACGTCAAAAATTCACGAATTATTTTAATACCAACTTGAAAGAAAACATTAAATTGTTTGAACACCAATTTTTTCTAGTGGTTGTCATCTAGTGATGATTTTTTTTAACCCTCCAGTGTTTTTTTTTGTATTTTTTTTTATAAAATACATGTGTGTTCTTTGTTTTGTATTTTCATCAAGATATCTGGATATTGTATAACTATTCCCGTATATATAAGGAATACTTCTTACCATTGAATTGAAGCAGCACTCGATCCAGGGTGTCAACATGGCTATCTACTTGTGATTTTAGCTCTGTAACATCAGAAGCAGCCGGCAGATCTTCGGCTAGAAAACGCCGTCTGATGTCCTTTAGAAGTGACATCAAATGATGGTCAATGTAGAGACAATGCATTTCTTCTGGTTCATCTTTGGTAATACGAGACAGTATTGACAAAATGACCAGTAACGCTTCAGATGAGACTTTGTTGCCAGGCTTCAGTTTATCTAATGCAGCTTTCATCATGGCTATCACTTCACTCAAATCGTAGGAGCCCAGAGCACGCCCTTCCTCAACTGAATCTACCATGGCTTCAAGAAGTGACTGTAATCGTGAAGTAATATCAGAAGACTGTGGGAGTAGAGATGACATCGCAAGTATAATAGATACGGCGTCAVTKAGTACTTYACGTACGCCATGGTCAAGRGCTCTTTKAGACACTGATTTCATCAGCTTGTCCAAACACGAAAGAATACGATTCTTCAAATTTCTCTCAAGATCAGTCCACCTAATCTTATTCAAAATAGCTTCACTGATGCAAAGTATACCTTTAAAAACGTCATTACTGATCTCRGGATGTTYAGATAAATGCYGAATTACAWGTTYWATCATWCTTTCCAGATCTGACRTCASCYTGTTTTTAATACCATYATCAATGTTCTCCCATGGTAATTTCTCCAGTACCTTAGTGTTTTCCTGCATCACTTGAATCAATGCATCAGTGCTCAGGTCAGGATGCTTAACAAGTTGCTCAGCAATCCAAGTCTTCAAAGTTTCTATATCTAAGATCAGCCTTGATTTACTAACATCGTCAAGGTTTTTCCATGGCAATTTTTGCAATACTTTGGTATTTTCCTGYATCACTCGAATCAATGCATCAGTGCTCAGGTCAGGATGTTTAACAAGTTGCTCAGCAAACCAAGTTGTCATAGTTTCAATACCTGAGGTCAGCTTCAGTTTACTACCATCATCAAGGTGATACCATGGTAGTTTTTGCAATGTCTTTGTGTTTTCCTGCATTACTTGAATCAATACATCAGTGCTCAGGTCAGGATGGTTAGCAAACCGCTCAGCAACCGATGTCATCATAGTTTCAATACCTGAGGTCAGCTTCAGTTTACTACCACCATCAAGGTGATACCATGGTAGTTTTTGCAATGTCTTTGTGTTTTCCTGCATTACTTGAATCAATACATCAGTGCTCAGGTCAGGATTTTTAACAAGTCGCTCAGCAACCGATGTCATCATAGCTTCTATGCCAGAGGTCAGCTTCATTTTACTACCATCATCAATGTGATACCATGGTTGTGATCCCAATACCTTTGCATTTAACTGCATCATTTGGGTCAGAACATCAACATCTAGCTCAGGATGGCTGACTATTTTCTTTGACAACTCTGACAATGGCCTCTCAGCCAATTCCACTGTGTCTGGTGCTTTGTTGATTAGCTCAGTTGTAAGCTGTTCTGGTTTGCTTTCCAAGAAAGGATTTAAGTTACTGAGAAGCTCTTGTTCTCCAAGCAGTTTCGATGTTGCTTCGTCCAATTTGTTCTTCAAACTCACATTCTCCCTGTTCACTTCTTCTCGTTCATGTTGGATTCTTTGTAATTCGCTCTGTAACTGAACAATCCTTTCACTTACTAAGGGTTGTTTCTCGTTCTCAAGGATGTGTAACTCGCGTGCTAGCTCGGCAACCTTCCTTTCTGCTTTTCTCCTCTTAGTGCTCGATTCTGTGCTTGATTTGTTGTAGATTTCTCTAACGTTAATCCAATCGCTCCAGGCCAGCTCGGTCATGGTAACTCTGGGTAAATCCATGTCACATGACGAGTGCCTATGTTCTCTGCCTACAGAGGAACTCTCTTCAGTCGGTTTGCATCGATCTTTGAAATATGAACAAAATNTTTTGCGGGTAATTTCAGTGCGTCTTGTCTTGATTTTTAGTTTAGGCTCTTATAATAAACTCGTTAGAAAACACGTTCATTTGCGTACTGGGTTTGCTTATTGTTACAGTATTTTCAATTTAGCCTTACAATGTCTTCTGTCATAATTTTGCTGCGGCGCAGACAATAAAGACTCCAAACGCGTTTTATTGCGTCTTTTGTGGTTATTTTAGCTTTAGATGTGTCTTGTGTCTTGATTCCACAGCAGCGCAAATAAATAAAGATTCCCGGAAACGCGTTTCCTTGCGTACTGTGTGGTTATTTTAGCTTTAGATGTGTCTTTTGTCTTGATTGTACATGAAATAAAGATGGCAGTTGTCAAGTCTCTTGTGTATTGCCTTTTGTTTTCATGAACTGTGTTCTGGTTCAGTAATACCTACTATTAGTCAATAAATAGACACTAATATTTACTGTTTATTTTGATAATATTTCACGGTACAAGTGTGATGACTCTATCAGCACTGAACTTTCTCTTTATTATTCTTTCATTTCCTAATGGAGATATTCCTATGGCGATATTGTGATCTTCCGATGCTGGATGGAAAAGGATTGGGGATAAATATTTGAAGTCACCTCATTTTTCATATATGAAAAATCTAAAATAACCCSTGCATATTGAATGCCGGTTAAAAATGAGTATCAGTATTCATTGTCAAGTAAAAGCTGTACACTCAGTATCTCAACAATCAGTCTGTGAGAAAAAAGTATTGCTGTTGACGTACAAAAACTTAGTCACTTTCCCATAATGCAATTTACCAAACATCGCAGACCTCTAAACTCTAGGACAATGACTTGATGACTTCTACTACGAACCTTCACTGGAAAAAATCGCGTGCTTTAAAGGTTGTAAATTTGATGTAAATCATTCCCATCAAATTTCCATCATTTTGGACACGTACATCATATTTCCATCAAATTTACAACCTTTAAAGCGCGCAATTTTTTCCAGTGCTTTATAGTTTCGTTTTGGTTGYGTTAAAATGTTTACCACTACTTAGCATAAAACAATAGAAAATTAGCTCTATTTTGTACGAATAAATGTTGCAAATTTGTGTCTACACCTATAGTGCTTGTTTTCTATAGAAGCAAAGTCACCAATATTAATAAACTGAGCGACATCAGACATGCTTTACTTGACTTACTTTACACTACAAATATCATAATATGTATTAAAATTTATCTCAACCACATTTATGGTACTAAGTTTTACTTATAAGATTTAGTATAAATACAATTTTATTGTGTTGTTGTAGCTCATAAAAACTAGTGTACCTTACTAACCTATAGAATATCTAAGATTACCTCTACCTATATTGAATATGAAGTTATTTGAAAAAGTACTGMRTACTRTGATGCTGCATAATGCWTTCCTGGACAAGATAAAAATGTTTTGTTGCTACTGGTCTAGTGGTCTCCACGTCGATTCTAAAAAAGTGCTTTTGGTTTATGTTTTCCACTACTGTTAGGARCTGGACGTCACGTGGTCTAAAACATGCAGTACGTACTAATAAAACTCCCAATAGCGACGATGAGTGACCAACAAGACATATCACAATATTCCTGAGTACTCAACGTTTTTAAGCTAAGTACCGCTGTATTGTATACATCGTGGTTCTCTTTATCTTTTTTTGAATGTGAAATATTTTAATCGTTAACACTACACGATATAGAAATATAATAAGTTGAAGATTTCTTGATGATACTACAATTGCTCCTTGATACCTCGCTACAGGTATGAATTCTAGCAATACTACGAAATAAGGAGCCTACTCTAAGTGGACTAAGTGTGTTTCTAACTCACACTGTTGTACATTCAAACTACAAAATATCATAAAATGAATATTGAGGTGACTGATTCATTTTTGTCTTAAGTTGTCGGAAACCAGTCTAAACATGCTCTGTGAAAATCTAGTTTGGACACCAAGCCTCAGGGTGACTAAACGGTCATACTATAAAATACTATTTCAGCTATAAAAAAGAGCACAAATTGTGAATTAAAGGTAAAGGAGATGAAGAAGTGCTTTCCTCTTTGTTGAGACAGCTTAATTTCGGTAATAGCTCATTCTCTATTCAAAGAGTAGTTGAATCAGGTGCATTATGCAGTGTTAGCTGACMGAAGAAACTGGATTTTTTGAAAAACAAATAGTCGCCCCAAGAAGTGTAGTTGGAGGACGACTTTATGAAGTTTTGAGGAACATCCAGTTTCCAAGGGCAACTATCACGGCATAATGCCCGGATTTAAACTGTAACCTCTCCACCAATGAGAGCGGAGGGTTTGTTGTTGAATTAAAACGATGTACAATCGAAACCCACAAATATCACGGTAGCAGTTAAAAGTGTTAGCCTTACATATTTTTAGTATCAATGAACGGTTTTAACTTCAGAAATTTGATGCGTGAAACCAACGAAGCAGTCGCATGGAGAGAATGAGAGTATCCATATATAATTCAACAACAAATTTTCCTCTCTCCTCTCATTGGTTGAGGGTTTCTATCAGTGCTGCTTAGAAAATAAATGAAAACGATAGAGCAGATTGCAACTTGAGCATTAATATGATAGTTGCCCTTGGAAACTGRATATTCCTCAAATCTTTATAGTCGTCCTCGAACTACACGTCTGGGGCGACAATAATTTTTTTTCGAAACATCCAGTTTCCGCCTGCAACTCTCACAGCATATTGCTCTCGATTCAACTACTCTATTGTTTCAATACTGTAATTAACTTTTGATTTAACTGTTTAGGTTTCTTTTTCCGTCAACCACTTCCACTAAGAGATCCTAAGGGATCGGTTCGTCTTCATGCAGCTGAGGTACTACAGGAAACAACAAAAACGTTAGGAAACGTGGATAGGCAAAGTTAGTTTACTATGCATACAGAGGACCAGAACATCGTTCAGTCGGGCTAAAATCTGTTGTGGTTACAGATGCGCATTCTAATTAGGTAGTCCGTTTGCTTATAATTTTATTTCATTTTAGTATATCATTCTACTAACCTGTTGTCATTTTTTCCTTTGATTTTGTCTCAGAAGGGCCTGAAAAACAATTAAGGAAAAAAAATGATCAAAGCCAAATGTAAATCAGAGTCAATGCTGTTCTAGTCCTCTTACTAACCTGAGGTCTCGGACATCTCATAGTAGGGTCCTGCCGAAGAACAAGGAAATAAGCATAGTAATGTTATAAGTAGTTGACATCTGTTCCTCAGCCAGTTATTATTGTGTGAATTTTCCTACTTACCTGAAGTCATTTTTTTCTTGAACAACATTGTTGCCTCAGAAGGTTCTGAAGTACAGAAATAAGTAAACAAAAATTTATTATTAACATAAGCGGTAAATAAACTACAAATTCATATCAATTTTCAAAGTGCTGTATTGCCAAAGCTCGATCGAATTGATTCATCCCGGCAGTATGACAATCAGTTAAGCGTCAAAATATCTATTGTGTCTGTCTAAGACTCGTGTCTAGTTTCCTCATGATGTTTCGCCAAGAATAAGCATCAAACTGATTGTCGGTCGTACAAGTTAACGTCTCCAGTCTTTCAGTCTAACTTTGATTACTCCTACTAACCAGAAGTCACTTCTTCCTTCAACATTGCCGATGTCTTAGAAGGAAGTCCTAAAAACAAAGCAAATGATAGACTCAACCAAGTGAGAGTTTATCATAGAAATTATCGAGAACTAGGGTCCCCTGTACAGAACAAAAAAACTTAAAAAAAGTTATAAAATACCCTGATGAGAGGATTTTGTAGTCCCTCTCCCAACGATGGGAGACTCTGCCCGCTAAACTGCTTGCAGCCGAAAAAAACTGTACACTGATAGCAAAACTGAACTGGTTCTGCTGCACGCACGAAGAAAACATTTAAAGAAAAAGAAAAATCTATCGACAAGTATGGTTTCAAGTTTGGAATAAGAGAGTGTAGGACCGAAACCCAGGATGAAAATCTGGTCTCAAGTTAAAGCAATTGTTTGACACTAGACCTATTCCATTTTGTCGTTGTAGAATATAATAACCTTTTCCAACAAATTGTGTATTTTCAAGCCGCATATTTTCAGTATAGCATRATTGATGGGTACATAACAGAGATAATACAAGACTTATATGTACATTTTTCTTAAAAGAAAGAAAGCCTAGTAGCTTTACTTTGAGTTTTTTTTATGTTTTGAAATTGTTAAAAACAGTGGGAATTAATAACAATCAGGAAATTACTTTCTTCTAATTTTTACTACAATTCTGCTCGGCTTATATGTGCTATAATCAGACAGTGTTTGGGTACTGCCGAGAGTGTAGAAATTACCCCTTGATCCTAATTTGCAGACAATTCAGTCCTTTTAAGGTAAGTTTATGGTAAGAGACTGGTCTGGAAATGGTTTAAATTTGGCTAGTTTTAGACACCTTGTCAAAGGCGTGTCCCTGGCTGATTGCACCACATATAGCACACTCAAAATATACAAATTTATCTTCCAATAGGATTATTTCTACTTATCACGTGATTACATTCCTTTTCACTTTCAGGGTATGGTTTTTGGCCTTGCTGTCTTAAACAGGCTCGACAATTTAGATAAAAGACCGATATATTTTTATTGTGTGTCTTAGACAGGTAATATTTTCATAAGAAATACCGTAGAAATAATAAAAATACCGTTTCACTGTCCCAGGATTAACGTGTTATCAAAAATTTCTTATTGTCTTTGATGGATGTCAGTATAATTGCAATTTTGATGGTTGCGGCGCAGATTGCTATTCCTTATTTTTCCGATTTGTCTTCAACAGGGTATGGATTTTCACTTTCTAGTGTCTTAAACAGGGTCAGGGATTTAGACCGCTGGCGGCACGTACCTATCAAAAATATAAAGATATAAAGATATATTCAATTTTCCGTTCTTCTGCAGTCTATGAGATACACAGATGATATGACGTCGAAATGTGATGAAAACAAAACTAAGTACACCATACAAAGACGAAGCAGAAAAGGCAGACTTATGATCCCAGAGATACACATCCATTTTAAAGACCACAAGGTCTAATGAATATTATTTTCTAATCGGATCTTGTCGTCCTGTAATCTTTACCAAAAACTCTTCTTTCGTCTTTTTAAAGTAAAACTCGTTATTGTTATGGTATTATCGCATGCACGGACTATCTAGAATCTTCCATAGTTTTTGTTCGTATCACTACAATTTCTAAGAAATTACACTGCATATATAATCTCACATATAAGCCTTTTCAGTGTAGAATCTTTCGCGGCTTATTTCGAACTGTTCTCAAGTAATACCGTTTTTTTAAAACGGGCTACTTGGATAAAAAATGTCGTCTTGTACTCTAATAGATACACTGATGACGTCAAACATCATATTTTAGGAAATACAATAAAGCATCATGTTCAGCGAGATGTCCTAATAAATTAGTCGTCTTCTCTGAATGAAGTGTTGAGTGTTTTCACTTACTTCCTTGTTGGACTTCGAGTAGTCTTACCAATGCTTGAATACTTTCTACAAAATAATGATTTATTGGTCTTAGAATTTGTGGTTTCCTGGAAAGAGCGGTTAAAGTGTATGTAACGTGTTTTGTATTTGTATGCAAACAAGGGAACTTGACATTTTGGGCAAGTGAAATTAAAACATAGAGGTTAATCAATTGAGTTACCTTTGAATTCATGTCCATGCTCTGATTTCCTTTCTGTTTAAAATCAAAACAATTATTGCCCTATTTTACCACACGACGCGCGTTACATTAAACAGAGGACAAATAACCAAAAAAACCAAAAAAAACACCATAATTATTGACATTAYTTTAAAACTATAGCACAACCTAAGCCTGGATGTTTGAGGAGATCAGGTACAAACTCTTATTGTTTTAAGTGTCTTTTAAGTCTCCCATTTAACTCTTTCCCGTCTGCCCCTTGAAATTTAGGTCGAATTCGACCTATGCGTCAAAAGTCTATAAGTTGCCGAAATAGTAAGCTAGAGCCCTGAAATTGCTCGTACGAACTTACTAGTAGATACTGTCGATCTTACAGTTGAAAGAATTTCGCAACGAGGAAACAAAAGACACAAAACATGACTCTGCTTTGAAATGACTGCCAAAATCTGAGTTTGAAGGACGACAGAGTACACTGATTTTCATCTCAATTTGTAGCGTCAAAATATGTTCTCCTAGCAAAAAGTCCACTTGGTTTGCAAACCCCTTTGATAGAACGTCCTCATTTCGATGTTTTTATTTTGGCAAATGCACTGCAGATTTTTAAACAGCCCTCTTTTGAAGACCAGGTACAACAAACTTCTATGCACGATCGAAATGCATCATGGTAAGACGGAAAATTTGGACATAAATCGTGCAGCATTCTTCTTTTAAGAATTTTTTTATAAGTGTGATCTCCCCCGCACCTACAGGCAAAATATCGGGCCAATTGCATTCTTTGGTTGTCAAATATTGCCAAAATTACCTTGGTAGGTTGGAAAATCTGCCACAGATGGACCAGGAAAGCGATCTTACAATGATGTCTCCAGTTCAAAACAAACCGTGACTTGGAGCCATTGTCTTCGAAAAATCGCTTTCCACCTCTGATTTCTTCCAGAAGATTGTCTCTGCCGACTAGTCAAGCTTAATGATGCAAGCCTAGGGGCTCCTGTGGCAGCAAAAAGCTCAAAAAAACACTTATAAACGGGTTTTTAGGTAAATAAACGGTCTGACCTAAATTTACAAATCCCTGCATAAATTAATGCTCCCTAAGGAATTCAAATCCGAAATAGTTTTATTGACAGCACCTTATATGGAAGTCAATTATTTTATCAAGATGTTAGGGTCGAAAAAGCTCAAAGATCAACAAATCGACATCAGTCGACAATGAGTTAATCCCRAAAATGAGGGTCACGTGACCTGTGATTTTTCGCAATATTTGTTAAAATTGCGGTTAGGGTTAACACATACTTAGGGTTAGGACTGTTTTCTTAGGCTTAGGGTTAAGATTTGGCTTAGGGTTAGCCTTGTGCTAGGTCTACATGGGGGCTTTGGGATAGGGTTTTGACCTAGAGCTAGTCACGTGACCGGCCTTCTCCAGCAGATTCAAACTCCATAGATGAGATCTGCACACAACATTGACCATGCTCAACTACTTCAAGTTCTTTGGCTATGCTGCTTAAACATGAAGATGACCACCCCTCATACTTTCACTTTGGTGCGTTTTGTAAAAAAGGCCCTAACGGCTAGGTTTCAAGACAACCAACCCCATATCTCTGGACTGCCTTCATAGTTTTGACTTTGGGAAAGTAATCAAACTTGTTGTAAAAACTGGTCCACGAAAGTTTGAAACGAAATAGCCAACAAATTGTGAAAAATTATTTTTTGCTTAAACATGCTGCGACGTCAAAAACAAACGGGGCAATTAATCAGATGAGGATATATGTTAAAGTATTTAAAGTGCGGCTAAGACGAAATCCATCCATTTTCTTCTGACCATTGTTTTCGCTAATATACACAATATATATTAACTTACCAAGGCCGTTTTGCATTTGGATGAAGAGAAGGGCTTCAAATTTGTCATTATTTCGAGTAATTTTCGAGCCGCCATTAATTTGAACTGATCTGRCCACAATCCTTTGCAATCGAAGTTCAAAGCGGAAGTGATGTCACTGACTTAACCCACGAACGAGGCTACACTSACATGGCTAAGAAAATGTATACAAACATAGCGACATTYCTACAACAACGTAGATTTTTAGATMTAAAAACCTGTGATTTATAATGCCCGCCAATAGCTGTATTGTRCAGGTCTAAAGCAACGTCTMCKCGCTAGGAATTTCTATTCATAAATCCCCAATCAATGAAAAAATACGGSGGCAATGGGTCGGGTTTTTAGGAAAMCATTGCGCAAACTTTGCGCCGGCACCGAAATGGCGCTTCGTTGTTCTATCCACTTTGAACAAGAACGTGCTTCTACAGAGTCTTCGTTCATTGAAGCTCTAAAAGCACCCTTAAACATTTCGACAATTTGGAAGATTGAAAAAGAATCCAAAGGCGAGTGACAAAATAAAATAAAAATTCTCGCCAAAAAATCACATTCCAAAATGTGAGCTATTTCTTGCTTTTCTTACACCAAGTAATATCTTAAAATTCTTAATTTAAAAATTTCTCTGAACCTGAAAACAAGAAAAGGTGTAGACTATCAACTTCTGTTGTACAATAGTAATGGTTAGAAATTCCTGCAAATGTCTTATCTCAGCAACATGTTTTTATGCTATCTTTTATAGACAGAGGTTCCCAACTGACCTCTGTACACTACAATGGACCAGTCATCTCCTTTTTGTAAGATTGTAATCAGTGTATCAAATTTCGTCTCGTGAGATACCGCAGTCTTTAGTATTTGGGGCTCAGATATCAAACCGATTAATGGCGGACGGGATTTTWACTACTTTCGAARCTCGATTTCTCATATTCTTTTGACTTTTTCGATAAAAAAATTAGCCAGCATGCTTAGTTAGACTTCAAAATACTGGATTATGCACAAAAAACTCTTTAAAAAGAACATTTTTTTTTTCGTCGTAGCCGCACTTTAAATGTAGCAATAATTATAGTAATTGCGGTGTAGACAACTCTTTAATACACTTAATTGAAGTTACACACACCGTACTAGCCATGTGACTAGTACCCAGGTTACCACAAATAAAAAGCATTAAAGGCCAAGAAATATGAGATACAAAACACTCAACTCATTGCGCTACATTTTTGCAATTCAAGTTGATGGGTTCCTGGGATATATCTGTTCTTATGTCCCAACCAGCTCTGAGTCACAACTGGTTGACAGCGATCGAGAAATTCACGAAAAAAGAACTCTCCAGGCAAGGAATACGAAATTTTTCCAGGAAAATAAAAAATTCGTAACTAATAAAATATAAGCCGTTTTTGACCATAAAAACGCAATATAGGCCTTTTTTACCTTAAAAACGTTTGACAGGAACAAAATTCAATTTTATAGAAGCAAGGGCGCCACATTTTCTTGCGAGCCGATTGTCAGCATAGAGCTCAAAATCCCTTTCCCAGGAAAAAAATCGTATAAGAATAGTTATTTAGTAGAACAGATTCCGTTGACTCCTCTTGAAGTTTGGCGTCCATGTTTCTCGTTGTTCACCATGTCTGGAGCCTGAACGTGCCGCACACGGAAAAACTGACCATAATAAGACCAATAAGAAACAATGAGCCTAAACCTGAACAGCAACAATGTTCCACGACAAATTGAGTATTTTATATCTCTATTAGGACACGTTGGGTATGAACAAAAGAATCCAATTTGCATACTAGACCCGCATATATTCCGTAACTTTCGTTCTAAGGCACGGAAAATTTCGAGGTCTTTTGGTACAAGATTGTAAATAATTGGTACTTTAAATGACAACATGTATATCGAATAATTTGTAATAAAGCACCTTGATGGGTAGTATCCAATCTGACTCAACTACTTACCAAAGATGTGAATCATGGTTGCCAACTCTTTCTTCAGCTTACTCAGCTCTTCCTTGATACCCCGGACGACTTCATCAAGGATGAACGGCTTATCACTCTCTGTACTCTTCACTTGAATATCTGACGTCAAAAATTCACGAATTATTTTAAAACCAACTTGAAAGAAACATTATAATGTTTAAAAATTGTTTGAATACCACTTTTTTCTAGTGTTTGTCATCTTATGATTGTCTAGTGATGATTTTTTTAACCCTCCCAGTGTATTTTTGTGTGTGCATGTTTATTGAAATAAAAAGAAAAAAAAACCTCCAGCGAAATCCTGGATAAATGTGTGTGTTTTTGTTTTGTATTTTTCATCAAGATATGCAGGAGATTATATAGCTATTCCCGTATTAAAGGATTACTTTTTACCATTGATTTTAAGCAGCACTCGATCCAGGGTGTCAAAATGGCTATCTACTTGTGATTTTAGTTCTGTGACATCAGAAACAGACGTCAGATTTTCGGTTAGAAAACGTCCGACGTCCTGTAGAAGTGACATCAACTGTTTCATTATTAACTTGTCACCATATCCACCATACAATTGACCATATGATGTTTTTTGTTCCAAATAAGCTTTTGTTATACGAGACACTATGGACAATATGACTAATGTCGCTTCAGATGAGGGTTTGTTGCCAGTCTCCAGTTTGTACAATGCAGCAGTCATCATGTCAATCACTTCGCTCAAATTGTAGAAGCGCTCACTACGTCTTTTCTCAACCGTACCTACCATGGCTTCAAAATGTGACTGTAATCGTGAAGTAATATCAGAAGACTGTGGGAGTAGATATGACATCGCAAGTATAATAGATACGGCGTCAGTTAGTACTTCACGTACGCCATGGTCAAGGGCTCTTTTAGACACTAATTTCATCAGCTCGTCCAAACACGAAAGAACATGGTTCTGCAAATCACTGTTAAGATCAGTCCAACTAATCTTCTTCAAAATAGCTTCACTGATGCAAAGTATACCTTTAAAAACGTCATTACTGATCTCGGGATGTTTAGATAAATGCTGAATTACATGATTCATCATACTTTCCAGATCTGACGTCAGCTTGTTTTTTACATCATCATAAATCTTCTCCCATGGTAGTTTCTCCAGTACTTTAGTGTTTTCCTGCATCACTTGAATCAATACATCAGTGCTCAGGTCAGGATGTTTAACAAGTTGCTCA